AGACCCCGAGCAGCCTAAATAAATAAATATTAAAAAAAAAGAAAAGAAAAGGAATGCATCGGAGACTGGCCGGGGCTTTGAAAAATCTAGACCTTTTCCTCAAGAAAAACTCAAATGGTGCAAAGATCACATTAAGATAGCCTATTGTATTATCAAATTGTTGAGGTGTCAGGATGAAATCTGATTGACTAAACCATCTAAACTGTACGTCACCTGATTGAGTGATTGAATGAGAGCTCTGTCCATTTTCTGAATTCTCCTTTCTTTGTTAGATGATCAAGCAGAAGTTTTCTGTGCCCTCTCCTGGTTTGACTTTGAAACTGCATAACAGTGATCTTTAAACTTCATTGGGTGGGGCTTTTCTTCAGTAAATTCATGCTCTCCCTCCCCTTCCTCTTGCCTTCGAAGGCTCATTTTGAACTACAGAGAGACAGAGGGGCAGCAAGAACTGTTCATCATTCACTCACCTACTAAACATTTATTATATTCGTTTTTTTTTAACAAAGCACTGCCCTTGGAGGTCAGCCAAAAGGAAGAAGCAGATATTGGAACTTAAAATTTACTAGAACAGAGCTTCAGAACCTTTTTCCTGTCGCGGCACACATAGAAAATTACACAATTTTAAGAACGTAAATGGGAAAAGAATTTGAAAAAGGATAGATACATGTATATATATAACTGAAGCGGTTTGCTGTATACCTGAAACTAACACAACATTGTTCATCAACTATATTCCAATATAAAATAAAAATTAAAAAAAATTACACAGTTTGTATGTCCCACTGAGGTAAAGGGGAAGAAGGGGGAGGAGGGATTTAGGGGCATCTATATGGGATTTGGTAAAAAAAAATTCCATTTTCTACATATTGTATCATTATGATTTGAAAAATAAAATGAAAGTATTAGAGACAGCATTAAATATTGAGCTTATATAGTTTCCAAGTAAAATATTTTCCAAATTTTCACTTTCTTCTGTGAATGTAACTATTTTTTCTCTTTTTTAATTTTATCTTAAAATTTTCTTTTGAATGTAACTTTTAAATATCAGGTTATGCTTAAAATGGTTACATGCAATAATGACCAGAACTTTTCAAGAAGGATCTCTTCAAGTTCTTTTTTTTTGTTTTTTATTTTATTTATTTGGCTGCATCAGGTCTTAGTTGTGGAACTCAGGATCTTCGTTGAGACGTGGGGTCTCTTCATTGTGGTGCTTGGGCTTCTCTCCAGTTGTGGCGTGCAGGTTTTCTCTCTCTAGTTGTGGCACATGGACTCCTGGGAACATGGGCTCTGTAGTTTTGTGGCACGCGGGCTCTCTCATTGAGGCACACGAGCTCAGTAGTTGTGGCCCGCGGGCTTAGTTGCCCCGCAGCTTGTGGGATCTTAGTTCCCTGACCAGGGATCGAACCCATGTTCCCTGCATTGGCAGGTGGATTCTTTACCACTGGACCACCAGGGAAGTCCCTCTCTTCAAGTTCTTGATAGCCATGAACAATTAGAAACTCAAATAGATAATACAAATTTAAAATTTTAACATTAAAAAACATAAAATTTAAAATATTTAAAGAAATGTCTTATTTTCTTTCATTAACAATTGTACAATTGAAATTTCTTGTGATAACATTAATGGATCTTGAATCCAATCAAACTCTTTTGTGTCAAGCATTTAAAAATAATGACACGGGACTTCCCTGGTGGCACAGTGGTTAAGAGTCCGCCTGCCAATGCAGGGGACATGGGTTCGAGCCCTGGTCCAGGAAGATCCCACATGCTGCGGAGCAACTAAGCCCAGAGCAACTAACCACAACTACTGAGCCTGCGTTCTAGAGCCCGCAAGCCACGACTACTGAGCCCGCGCTCCGCAACAAGAGAAGCCACTGCAATGAGAAGCCCACGCACCACAATGAAGAGTAGCCCCCACTCGCCACAACTAGAGGAAGCCCACGCACAGCAACGAAGACCCAACACAGCCATAAATAAATAAATAAATAAATAAATAAATAAATAAATAACAACAACAACAAAAATAATGACAGCTCTGATTTAAAGCACATTCCTTCAGGGGTGATATCCACCTGGTATGTCCTGGTATTTACTGTTAATGGCCAGCTGGCATATGTTCTTTTTTTTTTTTTTTTGGCTGCATTGGGTCTTCGTTGCTGTACACGGGCTTTCTCTAGTTGTGGTGAGTAGAGGCTACTCTTTGTTGCGGTGAGCAGGCTTCTCATTGTGGTGGCTTCTCTTGTTGCAGAGTACGGGCTCTAGGCATGCGGGCTTCAGTAGTTGTGGCTCACGGGCTCTAGAGCGCAGGCTCAGCAGTTGTGGTGCACGGGCTTAGTTGTTCTGCGTGGCATGTGGCATCTTCCCGAACCAGGGCTCGAACCTGTGTCCCCTGCGCTGGCAGGCAGGCAGATTCTTAACCACTGTGCCAGCAGGGAAGCCCCTGGCATCTGTTCTGATTGGTCAGTATCTGTTCCATCTCAGATGTTAAATATTTTTAATGTCACCCTTCCCATAAGCATTGTTAAAGCAGTCACCCTGAAGTTAGCTTGGACACTGCTTGGACACCAGCCAAAAATGGACAGAAATATCTGATACTATGTGAAGACAGATTTGGGTCAGCCATCTGGGGCTGCTCTGGCCAGAGCCCTCCAACCAGTGTCCCCGCCCCTCCACCCCTGAACAGCTGCATCTCGGGTTGCTGCTGCTCCCCCTTGGCCCCTGGAACTCACTTCCTCTAGCAGGACCCTGGACGCTTGTCTGTAACATGCAGCGGTGCACTCTGCAGCTGGCCTCTGAAGTTGATGGCCAGGTGGTAACACATGGCAAGCATCAAATGCTGCTGATCTTTCTGCCTACTTGTAGAGATTGAAAGGCAGGATGACAGACTCTGTTCTGCTTGGATCATATCCGCAGGAGCTTCCCATGGGCTGCATGCACCCAGAGGTGTTTGGTCTAGCTGGCAGCCCCAAGGGCCATGGGATCTTTATGTTGTATCCAACCTGTAACCCAATTGCAATATACCAGTGTACTATGACCATGGTGAGGAAACTCGGCAGTAGAGGAAATAAAACATGCAATGATAACACTACCTATTATTTATCAATGGATGGTTTACGATGTTTTCACAGTGGACCTCATTTAACCCTCATAAGAACCACCAGTAAAGATTATCATCCCATTTTAGAGAGTAGGAAATAGGTTCAAAAGGGTGAGTTGCTCAGATTGACATGTTAAGTCCACCCTTCCCTGACTGGGGTGCCTTAAGGATGTACACATTGGTGGGCTAGGTTAAATGATGAGTTATTGGAGTGACAGATTTACTTGAAAGTTTTGGGGGACGCTTTTTTTTTTTTTGGCTGTGCCACGCAGCTTACAGGATCTCAGTTTCCTGACTACTAAGCCACCAGGGAACTAGCTAGGGAAATTTTTTTTTTTTTTTTTTGCGGTACGCGGGCCTGTCACTGTTGTGGCCTCTCCTGTTGTGGAGCACAGGCTCCGGACGCGCAGGCTCAGCGGCCATGGCTCACGGGCCCAGCTGCTCCGCGGCATGTGGGATCCTCCCGGAACGGGGCACAAACCTGTGTCCCCTGCGTCGGCAGGTGGACTCTCAACAACTTGCACCACCAGAGAAACCCCCCCTAGGAAAATTTTAACTGGTAAATTATATAGGTGTTTCTTTGTTTTTGTCTTGTTTTGTTTTGTTTTGGCCGGCGCTGCACAGGATGCGGGATCTCAGTTCCCCAACCAGGGATTGAACCCATGACCCCTGTAGTGGAAGCTCAGAGTCCTAACCACTGGACCGCCAGGGAATCCCTTAACCGGTAAATAATATATTTAGAAATTCTGCCAACAATGATTGAGATTCACTGATAGTGGACCCAAGATTTAAGTTGTTTCTTTTTTTTTAAAAAAATTATTTATTTATTTTGGCTGCGCTGAGTCTTAGTTGCCACACACGGGATCTTTGTTGCAGCATGCAGGCTTGTTAGTTGCATCATGCATGCGGGATCTAGTTCCCCGACCAGGGATCGAGCCTGGGCCTCCTGCACTGGGAGCACGGAGTCTTACCCACTGGACCACCAGGGAAGTCCCAAGATTTAAGTTGTTTCTGATTCCAGATCCCAATTTATCCCAGGTAGAAAAGTGTTAAGGTTTTATGAGAGTTACGGAGAGACTCTCACGGGTTTCAGCTGAACATTGGGCATGTGGAGATGGGAGCTAGGGAGAGAACATTCCAGCAAAGGAAAGGAGGCAAGAAAGTGGGGCTGTGTAAGGTGAACAATGGCTGGAGAGATAAGGGTGTGAAGATGCATAACTGGAAATACGATTAGAAAGGTGGATTGGCTTCAGGAAACTTTATCTGGCAGGAAAGTCTATGTGATACTAGCAGTGGTGAGACCAATTGGAAAGCTCGAGGTGGGAAGGCCTGAACCAGAGTAGCCGTGGAGAGCTTTCACATGGGAAACCATCATGACTTACCAAAGGATGGTGGGGGAGAAGGGCAGGATCAGAGAGAGACGTGGGAAGTTGCTGGCTGAACTTGCAGCCCACCTGAGGTGTTGTCAAAACAACCATGTAGGGCTTCCCTGGTGGCACAGTGGTTGAGAGTCCGCCTGCCGATGCAGGGGACACGAGTTCATGCCCCAGTCCGGGAAGATCCCACATGCCGCGGAGCGGCTGGGCCCATGAGCCATGGCCGCTGGGCTTGTGCATCTGGAGCCTGTACTCCGCAATGGGAGGGGCCGCGGCAGTGAGAGGCCCGCGTATCGCAAAATCAAAAAAACAAAAAAAACATCCAGGTAGGGAGTTAGCAAATGGGTGACTGGAGCCCAGGGCTGGGATATGGGTTGTGAGTTACCTGCCTCTAGGTGAAAATGGTTACCTTGATATTGGAAGAGACTGCCATCAGAGAAGGAGCCATCGGAGAGCAGGGGAACACCTGGTCAAAGAAGCCACCTGCGGAAAATTTAAAGGAAGGGCATGTTCGGGAGTAGCGAATGATGAAGAGGACGGTTGGAGCTGCTGTCACATAGTGCCTGGCACATAATAAGCACACAAATACTTGTGAGAAGAATGAAAGGAAAAAAAGACAGTAAGAAAATGATACATTCAGGACAAACCATAAGAAAGAAATAGTGGTAGAATCTAGGCATAAGGGTGTTAAACTAGTAAGGACCTACTGTATAACACAGAAAACTCTACTCACTAGTCTGTAATGATCTATATGGGAAAAGAATATAAAAAAGAGTGGATATATGTATATGTATAACTGATTCACTTTGCTGTACACCTGAAACTAACACAACGTTGTAAATTAACTATACTCCAATAAAAATTAATTAAAAAATAAAAAAGTGTTAAGGGAATAACCAAGAGATTGTTGCATTTGCTCCAGAAAATGGCAGGGACCTGCTCGGCAGCCTATTGCCACACTGAATACCTGTTATTGATCCTTAGGAGACTTTGCGTCACCCAGCAGGGTGGTGTGATTTAATATGTGATTTTATATAAAGGGACAAATTTAATGCAAACTCGGGCCTTTCCCATTCAATCTCAAGTTCTAGAGATTAAAAAATATATAATACCACAAAATGGCTCCCATAACTGCATTACAGATCACTTCTGCCCCCCACCCTTAGGGATAAAGAGGACTGCACATGTGGGCTCGCCTCTAAGTCCTTTTTAAAAAAGGTTAATTTAGAAGGACTCTGCTTCCTGAGACTCCCACCCAGATATTCCTTGGTACATTATTTTTTTAAAAATGCTCCAATTTCTCTCGCTTAGAGAAAGGTCTTTCCTTTTCAAATCTTTCAGGTTTTTGTGGGATCTTAGTTCCCCAACCAGGGATCGAACACATGTCCCCTGCAGTGGAAGCCTAAAGTCTTAACCACTGGACCCCCAGGGAAGTTGCATTAGGTGTTACTCTGGGAGAAAAAGCTGCCAAGGGCCTGATTTCGGTGGAGGGACCCACTGGGCCAGTGCGGTGGACGTCGGTAGGAAGCCGCGGGCCTGGCTAAATTTATGAAAGGAACTAGAGGCCGAAGTCCAGGAAGGTGTGCAGGGAGAGAGCGGCCCGGGTCCTGGGCCCCTCCCCCGCCCGTGATCTCCAGGCGCCCCTGCCCTTTGAGCCCGGGGCGTCTCGAGCGCTGGCACACTCGACCCAGCTGCTGCGGGGACCAGCGGGGCGGGCGGGATGCTGCGGCTGC